CACCCACTCACTCACCCACTCACTCACTCACTCACTCACCCACCCACACACCCACCCACCCACTCACCCACTCACTCACCCACTCACTCACTCACTCACTCACCCACCCACACACCCACCCACCCACTCACCCACCCACCCACCCACTCACCCACACAACCACCTCTAACATAGAGACGGTGTTGCAGTCTGGATTTTTTGGTAATTGTCAAGCCAGGTAGAGCAACATTTCCGGTTGAAAACTTACCCATAATGGGCAGGATGTGTTGTGCTGAGGGGGGAGGGGGGGGGAGGAATGGGGGGAGGGGGGGGGGGAAGGGTTGAATGGGGGGAGGACCTTTCGTCCATCAATGTCTTAAGACTAACAGACCATCATCGATGTTCCTGCAGTATTGTATGATGCATTAGGAAGGTAGAATGCTGTAGCTGTCTCTTTCTTAGAATACAATAATGCTATCAGGCTGAGAGCAGCTGCGTCCAACAGTCTGGTTGACCAGTCCAGGGACGAGGAGGCCTGGGCGAGGACCGGGCCGCGGGGACGCTAAGCCCCGGAAACACCTCTAGGTAACCGCAAGGTAGGGTAGTAGGGAACTATCAGGGAAAAGCGCCATGCCGTTATGACTATATAGCACTTGGAAAGGGTAAGGATTTTGGAAGGGACGGAGGGAAAGGAATGGTGCCCTGCCGTTTAGACAGTCGGGGATTGAACTCCGACCTGCATGAAGGGAGACCGTCACTCTGCACCCTTGTAGAGACAGGGACACAACGCAGAGAATGGAGATGGTAGTTGTGGTTGATTGTTCAATAAACCACTGAACTATATGTTTAACAGCTCTCACCCTGTCCATGGAGGACAGAAGAAAATGTATATATATGTTGGTTAGCATTGTAAATGTCCGGCCACGTCTGTGGTAGAGAATAATAATGATAAACAATAAAAAACCGTCACTAAAATTCTGGGTGGCTGGTGAGGGGGGCGGGGGGGGGGGGGGTTGATGGAGCCGGCAGACAAGGGCGTGGAGGGAGTTGAACACCCTGGGCGATCAATCCTGTTAGCACGAAAACCCCGACTCACTTCCGCCCGTTGAATCCGCCCGACATTTTGGCCAGGAGGCGACGGCCGCCTTCCCGCGCGATTGTCCTTCCCTGTCGCTACACCCCGGCCCTGCTGCCTGTCCCTACACCCCGGCCCTGCTGCCTGTCCCTACACCCCGGCCCTGTTGCCTGTCCCTACACCCCGGCCCTGTTGCCTGTCCCTACACCCCGGCCCTGTTGCCTGTCCCTACACCCCGGCCCTGTTGCCTGTCCCTACACCCCGGCCCTGTTGCCTGTCCCTACACCCCGACCCTGCTGCCTGTCCCTACACCCCGGCCCTGTTGCCTGTCCCTACACCCCGGCCCTGCTGCCTGTCCCTACACCCCGGCCCTGCTGCCTGTCCCTACACCCCGGCCCTGCTGCCTGTCCCTACACCCCGGCCCTGCTGCCTGTCCCTACACCCCGGCCCTGCTGCCTGTCCCTACACCCCGGCCCTGTTGCCTGTCCCTACACCCCGGCCCTGTTGCCTGTCCCTACACCCCGGCCCTGCTGCCTGTCCCTACACCCCGGCCCTGCTGCCTGTCCCTACACCCCGGCCCTGCTGCCTGTCCCTACACCCCGGCCCTGCTGCCTGTCCCTACACCCCGAACCTGCTGCCTGTCCCTACACCCCGGCCCTGCTGCCTGTCCCTACACCCCGGCCCTGCTGCCTGTCCCTACACCCCGGCCCTGCTGCCTGTCCCTACACCCCGGCCCTGCTGCCTGTCCCTACACCCCGGCCCTGCTGCCTGTCCCTACACCCCGGCCCTGCTGCCTGTCCCTACACCCCGGCCCTGCTGCCTGTCCCTACACCCCGGCCCTGCTGCTACACCCCGGCCCTGCTGCCTGTCGCTACACCCCGGCCCTGCTGCCTGCCGCTACACCCCGGCCCTGCTGCCTGCCGCTACACCCCGGCCCTGCTGCCTGCCGCTACACCCCGGCCCTGCTGCCTGCCGCTACACCCCGGCCCTGCTGCCTGCCGCTACACCCCGGCCCTGCTGCTTGCCGCTACACCCCGGCCCTGCTGCTACACCCCGGCCCTGCTGCCTGCCGCTACACCCCGGCCCTGCTGCCTGCCGCTACACCCCGGCCCTGCTGCTTGCCGCTACACCCCGGCCCTGCTGCTACACCCCGGCCCTGCTGCCTGCCGCTACACCCCGGCCCTGCTGCCTGCCGCTACACCCCGGCCCTGCTGCTTGCCGCTACACCCCGGCCCTGCTGCTACACCCCAGCCCTGCTGCCTGCCTCAAACACCCCAGCATAAATTTACATAAAAAATCACATTTACATAACACCATCACCAAGAACTCTCACACCTCAACACAGCACATGTGTACACCACATATGTAAGGCCAATCCTGGAGTGTGCAGCCCCAGCATGGAGTCCGTACATAGTCAAGCACAAGACGAAGCTGGAAAAAGTTTAGAGGTATGCCACTAGGTTAGTCCCAAAACTAAGAGGCATGAGTTATGAGGACAGACTACGTGAACTGCACCTCACGTCGCTGGAAGACAGAAGAGCTAGGGGAGACATGATCACCACATACAAAATTCTCCGGGGAATTGACAGGGTGGACAATGATGGATTATTTAACACGGGTGGCACACGCACAAGAGGACACAGGTGGAAGCTGAGTACCCAAATGAGCCACAGAGACATTAGAAGGAACTTTTTCATTGTCAGAGTAGTTAGTAAATGGAATGCACTAGGAAGTGATGTGGTGGAGGCTGACTCTATACACAGTTTCAAGTGTAGATATGATAGAGCCCAATAGGCTCAGGAATCTGTACACCAGTTGATTGACGGTTGAGAGGCGGGACCAAAGAGCCAGAGCTCAACCCCCGCAAACACAACTAGGTGAGTACAGCCCATCTACACCAGAGGGCTGAAGGGTCGCCCTCTGCAGTATGATATCTTCAGGCCACCAAGTTAGACATGTTAATATCCCGAAAGGAATTCACAGGGAAATAGCAGTTGGGTTATATAGACTACGTCTACCTTGGAGTTACCTTGGAGTTGTTCCGGGGCTTAGCGTCCCCGCGGCCCGGTCATCGACCAGGCCTCGCATCAGTCTAGGTTACAGATGCAACTGAGAGATTGGTGAACCCCGACAGAGAGTGCATCTTCTGCCAAACTGTCACAGAAAAGCCATTACTTCACTATCTCCTGGAATGTGAAGCAACCAACGACCTCAGAAGAGCTTTAAGTGTCCCTGAATCTTGCAGTGGCCACCCTGAAGCATTCAACACTACCACTCTTCTGGTCAAACAAGGTGTCCAGCAGATGGAGACCCTCATAAACACTGTCATGCAGTATCCTCCCCCGCGATAGCAGTCATATAGTAAGGACTGACAGTTTAAATGTGCACTCAGCACACAGTACATCCTTTCACCACCAAAGATCACAATCACTCCAAAAAATCTACCACTTGCGGGCTATTCATGCCCGTACCGTCTCTTGGGTGGCTTAATCTTCATCAGTCAATCAAATGGTTAATGGAGATGAGATGATAAAGTGGATATTAACTGGGTATTCCTTCATTCAGACACTATGTTTATAGCTATCACAAACATTCAGATACTATGTTTATAGCTATCACAAACATTCAGACACTATGTTTATAGCTATCACAAACATTCAGATACTATGTTTATAGCTATCACAAACATTCAGATACTATGTTTATAGCTATCACAAACATTCAGATACTATGTTTATAGCTATCACAAACATTCAGATGCTATGTTTATAGCTATCACAAACATTCAGATACTATGTTTATAGCTATCACAAACATTCAGATACTATGTTTATAGCTATCACAAACATTCAGATACTATGTTTATAGCTATCACAAACATTCAGATGCTATGTTTATACCTATCACAAACATTCAGATACTATGTTTATACCTATCACAAACATTCAGATACTATGTTTATAGCTATCACAAACATTCAGATACTATGTTTATAGCTATCACAAACATTCAGATACTATGTTTATAGCTATCACAAACATTCAGATGCTATGTTTATACCTATCACAAACATTCAGATACTATGTTTATAGCTATCACAAACATTCAGATACTATGTTTATAGCTATCACAAATATTACCGGGTATAAAGTTATAAATCCCCCCCCCCCCCCACACACACATTCTCTTGATCCGATGAAGACGAAATGAACCGAAAACGCGTTCAGCAATTCTCTAATTCATTCTCCAAAGGGGGTGAATTTCTGCATACTCTGATCAGTGTTTTGTGATCGTTGTAGAATATATATCAATCGTAGCATATATCGTTGTAGCATATATCAGCATTTACCAGTCTCTGTGGTGTAGTGGTAAGACACTCGCCTGGTGTTCCACGAGCGCTATGTCATGGGTTCGTATCCTGGCCGGGGAGGATTTACTGGGCGCAAATCCTTAACTGTAGCCTCTGTTTAACTCAACAGTAAAATGTGTACTTGGATGTAACAACGATTCTTCGCGGCGGGGATCGTATTCCAGGGACCTGCCCGAAACGCTACGCGTACTAGTGGCTCTACAAGAATGTAACAACTCTTGTATATATCTCAAAAAAAAAAAAAAAAAAAAAATATATATATATATATATATATATATATATATATATATATATATATATATATATATATATATATATATATATATATAATATTAATATGCAGAACAATATAAGAACAACCACATATTACACATTCCACACATTACCACAACCACATATTGAAGAATTAGAGAATGCTGAACGCGTTTAAGCTCATTTCGTCATCATGAGAGCAAGAGAGAGCTCTATTGTGAACGAAAACGCGTTCATCATTCTCTAATTCATTATAATATTAATCATGTATATATTAACGTGTGTTGTCTAAACACTAACATGTATTTACTGGTGTGCCCACAGTGATCCACGGGACTGTGGTGGTCGCCAGGTGAACCGTCACCCCACAGACCCAGCCTCCCGGCTGGCTAACCTGGCCGCTCTCCTCCACCACATCAAGACCTTCTACCAGGTGAGTGTCTTCGCTTCCTCCTCCTCCTCTCTCAACACTGCTCCTTCAAGACCACCACCTTGGGGGAGTCGTATACCCCCCCTCCCCTCGGGGACTACCCATGAGCGAGCGGGTCTACCACCAGTGTGTGGTCCCTTCAAGCAACAGCCTGGTGGACCAAGCTCTCACAAGTCAAGCCTGGCCTCGGGCAGGGCAGCCCGTGGACCCCTGATGGGACCCAGCAAACACAATTAGGCGAGTTCACACACACACACACACACACACGCACACGCACACACACACACACACACACACACACACACACACACACACACACACACACACACACACACTCGGGTTGAAGTTCAACCCGAGTAAATGCAAAGTAATGAAACTAGGTGGTGGAAATAGGAGGCCAAACACAGGATACAGAATAGGAGATGAAGTACTTAATGAAACGAACAGAGAGAAATATCTAGGAGTTGATATCACACCAAACCTGTCTCCTGAAGCCCACTTAAAAAGAATAACGTCTGCGGCATATGCGTGGCTGGCTAACATCAGAACAGCGTTCAGGAACCTGTGTAAGGAATCATTCAGAATCTTGTACACCACATATGTAAGACCAATCCTGGAGTATGCGGCCCCAGCATAGAGCCCGTACCTTGTCAAGCACAAGACGAAGCTGGAAAAAGTCCAAAGGTATGCCACTAGACTAGTCCCAGAACTAAGAGGCATGAGTTACGAGGAAAGGCTGCGGGAAATGCACCTTACGACACTGGAAGACAGAAGAGTAAGGGGAGACATGATCACAACCTACAAAATCCTCAGAGGAATCGACCGGGTAAACAAGGATAAACTATTCAACACTGGTGGGACGCGAACAAGGGGACACAGGTGGAAACTGAGTACCCACATGAGCCACAGAGACGTTAGAAGGAACTTTTTCAGTGTCAGAGTAGTTAACGGATGGAATGCATTAGGCAGTGATGTGGTGGAGGCTGACTCCATACACAGTTTTAAATGTAGATATGATAGAGCCCAGTAAGCTCAGGAATATGTACACCAGTTGATTGACAGTTGAGAGGCGGAACCAAAGAGCCAAAGCTCAACCCCCGCAAGCACAAATAGGTGAGTACAAATAGGTGAGTACACACACAAAAGTACCCAAATGAGCCACAGAGACATTAGAAAGAACTTTTTCAGTGTCAGAGTACTTAGTAAATGGAATGCATTAGGAAGTGATGTGGTGGAGGCTGACTCCATACACAGTTTATAATGTAGATATGATGGAGCCCAGTAGGCTCAGGAATCTGTACACCTGTTGATTGACAGTTGAGAGGCGGGCCCAAAGAGTCAGAGCTCAACCCCCGCAAGCACAAATAGATGAGTACAGGTGTGAATATATCTAATGACGGTAAGACGTTGGTTGACCCCAAGACGTGTTGGTGTGCAACACCTGGAGCAAGTCACCTGAGACAGTTGAGGTCACCGCCCCAAGACATAGCCCCAGGCTACTCAAAACTAACAATCACGGATAAATTTAAGCTAATTCTTGAATTTTGTGTCATATTGCAAAGCTTTGTGTCTTGAGGTGGAGCAGTAAGCTCTCGGCACCGAGGTCGACCTGAGCGGGCAAAAAACGTCGCATTTCCATCGTAGGCGTTACATACGGCCAGAAATCGTCCTACTAGAAAATGGAAGCGGCTGGTTCCAAATGTAGCCCTCCAAATGTACTCACTAGAAAGAAGACGAGAGAGATATCAAATAATATACACCTGGAAGATACTGGAGGGCCAAGTACCAAATCTACACAGTAAAATAACAACGTACTGGAGTGAACGACATGAAAGAAAATGTAGAATAGAACCAGTGAAGAGCAAAGGTGCCATAGGCACAGAGAACACTGTATAAACATCAGAGGTCCGCGGTTGTTCAACGTCCTCCCAGCGAGCATAAGAAATATTGCCGGAACAACCGTGGACAATATTTATACAACTCTTGTATATATCTCAAAAAAACAAAAAAAAAAAAAAAGAGGAAAGACAAGAGGAAACTAGATTTGTTCCTCCAAGGAGTGCCGGACCAACCGGGCTGTGGTGGGTATGTGGGCCTGCGGGCCGCTCCAAGCAACAGCCTGGTGAACTCTCACAAGTCGAGCCTGGCCTCGGGCCGGGCTTGGGGAGTAGAAGAACTCCCAGAACCCCATCAACCAGGTATCAACCAGGTTAAAGTGACGTACTGTCCCGTTTTCTGTTATGGGTCCTCTGGTAGGTTAGGGGAGACCACTTTAAATTGTCCGTTTTCTGGACGTTGGGAGACCCTAGGAGGACGCACTAGTGAGAGGGACGTCGTCCTTGCTGGCAACTGTCCCCCTAAAGTTATACTCTGGATATACTCTGGGGAAAGAGTATATCCCAGTTATATTTGAACAGTCTTCCAGCCCCACCTGGGCATACTCTGAGGGGTCAGGGTGTGGGGGCTGCCCCAAGGTCCAGCATACTCTGAGGGGTCAGGGTGTGGGGGCTGCCCCAAGGTCCAGCATACTCTGAGGGGTAAGGGTGTGGGGCCCCTAAGAAAAAAGAGAAGGAGATGCAGATTGGAACGGGAACGTCGTTCCTTATAATGGCGAAGAAAACGAATCGCGGAACAACTTGAGAGTCGCACCCTATCTCAAGAACGGCAAAGAAGGTTAGGTAGAGAAATAGAAACAATTGAACTCAAGCTACAAGAATCATACAAAACCCAGGAGAGGCAAAGAGAGCAAAAGGCCACCAGTGAAATAGAGAGAAATCCGAAATATTTTTTCTCCTATGCAAAATCAAGATAAAAAACCACATCTAGTATCGGGCCCCTGCGAAAGGGAGATGGAACTTTCACCGATGACAACAAAGAAATGAGCGAGTTACTGAGGAAGCAGTACGACTCTGTTTTCAGCGAACCATTAAATGCACTAAAGATTGATAACTCAAATGAATTTTTCATGGATATGATACCAACATCAAATCATACATCAGACGTCACCCTATCCCCACTAGATTTTGAAGAAGCCATAAACAGTATGCCTATGCACTCTGCACCAGGCCCGGATTCTTGGAACACCATATTCATCAAGAACTGTAAAAAACCACTATCGCAGGCCCTTCACATTCTGTGGAGACAAAGCCTAGATACTGGCGTTATCCCTAACATACTGAAAACAGCAGAGATAGCACCACTCCTTAAAGGAGGAAATAAGGCAGAGGCAAAAAATTACAGACCGATAGCACTAACATCGCACATCATAAAAAATTTTCAGAGTGCTAAGAAGTAAGATCACAAAATACATGGAATCACAGCATCTCCATAACCCCGGACAACATGGTTTCAGAACAGGGCGCTCTTGCCTGTCGCAGTTGCTGGACCACTATGATATGGCATTAGATGCTATGGAAGACAAACAAAACGCAGATGTAATTTACACAGATTTCGCAAAAGCTTTTGATAAATGTGACCATGGTGTTATTGCACATAAAATGCGTTCAAAAGGAATTACCGGGAAAATAGGCAGATGGATCTACAATTTCCTGACTAACAGAAACCAATGTGTAATAGTCAACAAAATAAAATCCAGCCCATCAACCGTGAAGAGCTCAGTCCCCCAGGGTACTGTGCTTGCTCCAGTACTTTTTCTCATCCTCATATCGGACATAGACAAGAACACAACCTATAGCACTGTATCATCCATTGCAGACGACACTAGGATCTTCATGAGAGTAGGCAACATAGAGGACACGGCAATCCTCCAATCAGATGTAGATCAGGTCTTTCTATGGGCTACAGAAAATAATATGGTGTTTAACGAAGATAAGTTCCAGCTCATGCGCTACGGAAAAATTGAAAATATAAAAACGGAAACCACGTACAAAACTCAGGCAAATCATAACATAGAACGAAAAGGCAATGTAAAGGATCTGGGTGTACTCATGTCGGAAGACCTTACCTTTAAAGAACACAATAAAGTAGCCGTCACAACTGCAAGAAAAATGACAGGTTGGATAACAAGAACTTTTCACACTAGAGATGCTATACCGTGATGATACTTTTCAAAACGCTTGTGCTCTCTAGAGTGGAGTACTGCTGCACAATGACAGCCCCTTTCAAAGCTGGAGAAATTGCTGACCTGGAGAGCGTGCAGAGATCCTTTACTGCTAGAATCCACTCAGTAAAACATCTAAATTACTGGGACCGACTAAAGAGCTTAAATCTGTATTCTATTGAGCACAGGCGGGAGAGATACATAATAATTTACACGTGGAAAATAATTGAGGGGGCTGGTCCCAAACCTGCACACAGAAATAACATCACACGAGACCAGAAGCAACCCGTTCTCGCAAATTTAATAAGTCAATATTGACTTATTAGTTGCGTGCATAGGTGACATACCAAACATAATAGTTTCCCTTGAAAAACTTCATAGAAAACACCGACCTTACCTAACCTATTTAGTATGTTAAAATAAGCATCTTATAGCTTCGTAATTACAATTGTTACTTAACCTATTATAGGTACAGGTTAAGTAATAATTGTAATTACGAAGCAATAAGATGCTTATCTTAACATACTAAGTAGGTTAGGTAAGGTCGGTGTTTTCTATGAAGCTTTTCAAGGGAAACTATTATGTTTAGTATGTCACCTATGCACATATTTAATAAGTCAAAATTGACTTATTAAATTTGCGAGAACGGGTTGCCAGAAGACATGGCAGGATGTGCAGAATACCCCCGTTGAAGAGCAGAGGTGCAACAGGTACTCTGAGAGAGAACTCCATCAACATCAGAGGCCCGAGACTGTTCAACACGCTTCCACTACACATAAGGGTCATAACTGGCCGACCCCTCACAGTGTTCAAGAGAGAACTATCAACATCAGAGGCCCGAGACTGTTCAACACGCTTCCACTACACATAAGGGACATAACTGGCCGACCCCTCACAGTGTTCAAGAGAGAACTATCAACATCAGAGGCCCGAGACTGTTCAA